GTTCTTCTCTTTTGCTGTTCTTATTTTTCACTGTTATATCTCATTGTTTCTTGTGTTTGTCTATTAACTTTGGCAACCAACATTTGGCTACCTATTTCCAAATAACTGGAGCCACAATTTTCACTTGGAAAACGAAATCTAGTATGCAGCAGTATTTTGAACAGTACATTATAAAATTGAGCATCTGAAAGTGTACAGCTGAAAATTATAACATCAGCAAATTATGTGCTGCAACACTGTAAGTAGTACATGTTACTAATGATAAGATGTGCAAAAACAGTAAGAAAGCAGATGGCTGTGAGTGCAGTTAATTGTAACTCAAATATATTGTAAACTAAGGACAACTTGTACTGTGTTCTTCATCAGAATGGTTGATATTGGCAACCTGAAACTATCTTGTTCTTCTGGTCTCAGAATAGGTAAAGTTCATGTAGACTATTAATACTTAAGACTAATTTCTTTTCTTGACTTGTTGGTTTCCTTCTTTCTCTTTTACCCTAGATACATAGAGACCAATGTGGCTGCTCACATACTTTTTCAGACTCAGACACTATTCAACAAACGAGGATACAGAATACAAATTTTATGTGCTGTATTCCGGTTGACAAGAATTTTCCATGTTCTGTGGTCTTCAGTTCTCATACCTCATAAACCAATCCTATGACTTATTTCCTTATGTCTGAGAAGTACATGTGGTTAATAGGGTCACTATGAGTCACTGACTTAATGGTACTTAAAAAGAAGTACCTATGTTCGCACTCTTTATGCGCTTTATTGTTTTGTGAATATATTTGGATATAGATGTTTATGTATATTGCTGTTGTTGTTGTTGGCGGTGTTGTTGTTAGATGCAGTTGAGTCACTTATGACTCATAGCAACACCATGAACAATTAATCTGAACCTTGCCCTGTCCTGTGCCATCATCATCTCTGATATACTTGAGCACATTGTTACAGTCAGGTGTCACTCCACCTTGTTGAGAGTCATCCTGTCTTTCACTGACCTTAAGTGTGTCCCACTTAAATTTCAAAACCATCTCAGGAACAGATTTGAGACCTTGAGCACCAATGAGTGTAGACCAAATGAGCTCTGGGAGGATATCAAGAAAATCATCCATGAAGAATGCAAAAGATCATTACAAAGGCTAAAGAAGAAGAAAAGACCAA